AAGATAAATTTAGTTAATACAATTTATTTTTTATTACAATATTAAGAATGCCATTAACAGTATAAATATTTTGTTATACATWTAATTAATACAGTAAGTTGACAAAATATTGTACATTAAAAATAATGTTTAATTATTTCACACATATTTCATTATTTCTAGTAATTATAAATCAAAATTTAATTTAATATAAATTATGCCTAATTCCAAATTTTGGCTTATTTCTTAACTTGGTTAGTTTTGAAAATAGAAAAAATATCTTTTCCATAAAAAAAATGTAAGTTGTATTCCGTTTGCTGAATAACTATAACTAAAAAGTGAAAATATGTATTTAGGTACTCCTTATCACCTCCTGAAAACCCCATTTCAATACAACGCTATCCACTTGAGATATTTAGTATTACCTTAATTTGTGAGCACACTGTGTATATATATTTATATTGTTTAAATGTATTACAAATAATTGATTACTAAACATTATTCAAGAATATTTTGTATTACTTAAAAATCAATTAATAATTTAATATCAGGATGGCTCACCTATGGACGAATTTGGTATAGCAGCAGCTCTCTTGCCTTTAGCAACAGCATTTTGCCGTAAACTTTGYACTGGAGTGATTCAATTTGCATACACATGTATTCAAGTAATCTTATTATTTAATACTATAATATTGTTATGTTTATTTATGATATAAGCTATGTGTTAATTGGTTATAATTCATTGTGTAATATAGGATCACCTAGTTTGGAAAAATCAATTATTTTGGGAATCTGCCTATTATTTAGATGTTSAAAGGGACATCAAATCTCTTTATTCCGACAATAATCTCTCAAATCATAAAAGATCTTCATCAATGAATCTATCTAGTCCCCGTGAAAATCATGTAATATAATATAATAGTGATCTGAATATGTTTTTGTTGAAACTGATGACTCATTATCTATTTTAGAATAAAGATAATATTTTAAATGACAGATTTAGTCGTTCACAAGAACTATCTGCTTTAGAAATAGCAGCTGAACAAATGAGGTTACGTCCATCTAACAATTCTGGTAATGATAAATTTATAAGTAATACTTATGATGAATATTTATTTATAATTGAATTGATTTATATTTTTGTTAAGATAAACTTAAGGAATATATATCAAGTGAAGAATCAACACTGTACAGTCAAGCTATTCATTATGCTAATCGTATGGTGTATTTACTTGTTCCGTTAGATGTAGGAGGAAATAATATTAAGAGTTCTTCAAATCATCAATCATCAAACAAAAATATTGATGATGAAAGAACATCTAACAGTATAACAAATAGGTATTCATTTTAAAATGTTATTTTTGTTTTTAYTAGGTAGCTATATTGAATATTTTAGATTCTGAGCGGAGCGATGAATGTATTGATTTTACCATGATGTGTGTTTTTTTTTTTGTGTGTGTCATCACGTTTTGGGGCAGTAAAMGTGCTTCGATTTTTGGCTTCAGTACCTCGTTCGATCAGAAAGTGCATCTAGTTAGTACTTTGAGGGTCAAAAGTAAAAAATTCTTAATAGTTTTCTAAATAATCGAGAAAAACAAACTAAAAATTAAGGGAAAGACGGGAAATTTTACTCACAATCAGTTTTCGACAAAATCGATTTTGGTTTTTGATGTAACTTTAAAACAAATGACCATAGATACATGAAATTTT